AGTGACCTGTCGTTTCAGAAACATACTAGTTCAAACACTGTCATATCCTGAGACTTGGCACAAGTGACTGATAAGTTCTGGCTTCTCTCTTGTGTTGTAGCCTCGCTGTGACATATGACATTGAGTTGTCAGCAGAATTAATAGTGTCAAACCTTGTATGTTTGACATATGACATTGAGTTGTCAGCAGCATTAATGGTGTCAAACCTTGTATGTTTGACATATGACATTGAGTTGTCAGCAGAATTAATAGTGTCAAACCTTGTATGTTTGACATATGACATTGAGTTGTCAGCAGCATTAATAGTGTCAAACATTGTATGTTTGACATATGACATTGAGTTGTCAGCAGAATTAATAGTGTCAAACCTTGTATGTTTGACATATGACATGGAGTTGTCAGCAGCATTAATAGTGTCAAACCTTGTATGTTTGACATATGACATTGAGTTGTCAGCAGAATTAATAGTGTCAAACCTTGAATGTTTGACATATGACATTGAGTTGTCAGCAGAATTAATAGTGTCAAACCTTGTATGTTTGACATATGAATTGAGTTTCAGCAGAATCAATAGTGTCAAACATAGTATGTTATCTCCAGACCCTGTCACATGAGCTGAAACTCCACTCCCTTCTAAAAAAAACATCTTTAGTTGGTTTATGCTGTAGTTCAGGGGTCTCCAAACTTTTCAGTCCGAGGGCCGCATTAAATATCAAATTTCAGTTCGGGGGCCAGTTTCTTCCAGGCGTCTTTGATTTTTCTGGGCAAAGTTCCTCAGCTATCACCAACAAACGTTTTTTTCCGTGGACAAAAATATCTCCGCTGGCCAGATAAGAGGACATCGCAGGCCGCATCCGGCCCACGGGCCGTAGTTTGGAGACCCCTGCTGTAGTTGGATCCCATCTCATCAAAACTGTAATCATACCTTGCCCTAGGAGGTGTCCAATCTTATGGCAACTTGCAGGTAATCTATTAGCTTTATTTCATCTTTTTCCTCAGAATCTGTTGGTCTGTTGAATAAAAAATTATAAAGTTTGTTCTTTTTAATTGTATTTTATGAAAAATTATGCTATGCCAAAAGTGTAACAGAATTAATTCAATATAGGCCCTTATATTAATAAAATTACATATTAAGCTAGGCTAGGTGGATATATTTAATTATTTTTAGATTTAGCTAGAACAATGCCTAAAAAAAGAAACTTCTGTATTTTTTAATCAATCAAACTCAAGACACTGAATTAAATAAATTTTGGACAAAGAGCATGAAAATCACATTCGTAATGAATAAAAATAGACAAAGGTAAAAGCCAGTAAAAGGGAAAATCCCCAAAATTCAATACTGACCAAGAACAATTTAATACAAAATTACTTTTAGAATATTCTGAAATCTAGATTTAGGATGAAGTTAAACCCCAAGGCAATGATGGAGCAGTCTCCCCAGACCCCCAGTAGTGATCTATTATTAGTTAAGAACTTAAGAGACTTTGTCACTTTCAGTCTTAAGACGAGTTTAAGAGTAAGCCTAGAGTCTACAGTAGAGTCTACACTACAGTCACACTAACTACAGTGAACCAGTCAGTAGAAAAACAGATCAAGATCAGGGGGTTGGCGTGGTCGAGTCGATAAAGCTCAAGGTTGCTAAACCGTAAAGTCTCGTTAGCTGAGGACAGCCACTCTTCTAGGAGAGACAACTCCAAAATCAAACAACTGCTACCTTGTAGTTTGTTCTTGGTTGGACAAAGGCTATGGAAGCAAATCCAAAAAGAAAAGCAGGCTGAAATCGGAGTCGATGGCCTTAAAGGCGCTTAACCAGTTGACACTTATCCTTAATTGTTTTGGAGTGGGTTCCCTTCCAACACTAAAATTAAGAATGAAGAAGAAGAAGATCAAGATCTACAATTAATACTAGATCTAGATCTAGAATTCTAGATCTACTAGATTTTACTAGATTAAAATCTAGCTAGATTAGATCCAATATCAAGTCACACTCTGTGACTCTAGTCACGTCTAATAACTAAGACTCTAAGACTCTAGTCTAAGACGAGACCGAAGACCAGATCTGAAATCTAGATCAGGCCGAATCAGGCTACTAGTTTGGCTAAGTTAGGTATAGATCTAGATCTATTTACTAGGCCTATTGAAAGTCTACATTAAATTCCGTTCAAATACTTCAACAGTTTTTCTTTTTTTTTTCTTTTAGAAGAATCTGATGGGGAACTAAATCTACCATCTGTGATATTAAACTGTCTACATCGCTCGGTTTTTCTGGTTGACGCCATGTTGTTGTTATTGTTGCTGTTAGTAATTTAGTAATTTAAAAACATAAACCGCAAGGGGCGGCTACTCCTTTTAACAGTAAAATTCACTGTTTGTGAATTAACTCAGCAAAAAGTAACATTTCCCATCCCCCATCATGTAAAACTAAAAAGCCAGGTCTTGTGTGTGTGATTTTTTTTGTTTTTGGTGTAGCCCAGACTAGACAATACGTTTCTCAGCATATACACTGGCGTCATTTGGTCGTCTGTCGCTCGGTGCGGTAACTCGGTGCTCCCCCTAAGCCCTAAACACCTTCTCTCGTGGATGGTGTGGTACATTCTGGGTTGATGATTTGTTTAGTGATTTGCTTTCCAAATTCTGTCAGTCTATACATAGATCTATGTATGTAAGTGCGTGTGTGGGTATATATGTATAAATATTCTCAATTCCTAGTTTTTATTACTTTTGTAGTGTTGCCTCCCTTGGCTTTGTTTACATTCGCAAATAGAAAGTAGCTAGGGGGTCATCCATAAATGACGTCACACTCGTAGGGGGGAGGGGGGGTCCGTAATTTTGTGACGATGTGTGATGAGGGGGAGGGGGGGGGTCAGATGTTGGGACATCACATTTTTGCATTATAAAAAAGCAATGTTAGAAAACGAATTTTAGACGTTATTTCGCGTTTTAGATAACTGTTTTAATAAATTGTAATAGTTTAGACAAGATTTTGGAAAAATATCGATGTTTTAAAAAAATTCAACTGCAATTTTGAGGGGGGTTGTAGGTTGAGGTGTGACGTCATTTTAGGGGGGGGGGTCTGGCTTTTTGTGACGACGTGTGACGGAGGGGAGGGGGGAGGTAAAAATCGTCAAAAAAGCGTGACGTCATTTATGGATGACCCCTTGCTTTGCTGTTAAATATTCGTTAAACTTATTATAAACTGTAATAAGCTACGAAAGATGACCTTTTAATTAGTCTATCTGTACCCCAAATATCATTATGGGATATGACTACTATATACTTATATAGACCACTTAAGACCACCCCCGCCCTTATATTATGGAATGCTTCAATCTTCGTTATTTTAAATATTTTGAGGAAACATGACAAAACAAGCTAAGATCATTCATCCAAATAGAGTTAAGCTGCACAGTTGTTTCTTATGTACTTGCATCATGTGGATTGTATTTCTAAAAAGTTAACAATAATTGTTTTAGTTCTAGCCCTCTCAGCTTTTTTGTACTTGTTTTTTTTTTTTCGTGTATGGAATAACTGATAAAATAATGTAAACTATTCACAAAAGCACGCTCAAATTTATTTTTATCTGGTAAAGAACTGAAAACCGTCATTGCTAGTCACAATATTTCTAGCGTATTTACAAGATCTTCATCGGTTAGTTGCTCATCTACAAGACTGAAGTAGTGTAAATTTGTAGCACATTTGTAGCACATTTGTAGCTCTGAATTTAAACATGTCACAAAATACTGACCAATGCACCTATAATTCTAGATATTGTTTTATGTTGTTATCATGAGTCGACCGAGAAGCAGGCTTATAGTATTAGTTAGAGCTATTTAAAATAAATTTACAAAAACAAGACGAACTTTGTAATTTTAAAAGTTCATTTTTGACCATGATGTAAACATAAAAACTATATACAAAACAATGCTTATCCCGCTTTATTAACAACCGACTATAGATAAACATCGTTTGTATTTAATGTGAACACTGTAAAGCTTTTACCGAGGGGGGGGTGACACCAAATGCAAAAATGTACAGAGAAAAAAAAGGGGGTGTGACACCATGAGGTGCCGCACCGGGTGACACCCAACTACGCGACCCCACTGTTTCTGACCACTATAACCTAGCATTATCCAAAAAACTCACCACTCCGCCTATTGACAAATCCTACAAATTTTCTCCATATCTACGTAATACTACATCCCACCCTTTTAGGCACTTAATATAACATCCAAAACCCCTATCAAGTTATATGATCGTGCACCCACCATATGTTCTCGTCGTATAACCCTACATACCCTACTACTATCTATTCAAATAATTCTACAGCCCCTATAAGGTCACATAATTTTCACTCCCCACCCCGATCTTGTCACATAGTCTTACACCCCCCCCCCCCATCTATCTTGACACATAATCTTACACCCTTCAATCTTGCCACATAATCTTACACCCCCACCCTTATCTTGTTACATAATCCTACACCCCCCCCCCCCAATCTCGCCACATAATCTTACACCCCACCCCAATCTTGCCACATAATCTTACACCCCCAATCTTGCCACATAATCTTACACCCCCAATCTTGCCACATAATCTTACACCCCCAATCTTGCCACATAATCTTACACCCCAATCTTGCCACATAATCTTACACCCCCAATCTTGCCTCATAATCTTACACCCCCAATCTTGCCACATAATCTTACACCCCCAATCTTGCCACATAATCTTACACCCCCACCCCTATCTTGCCATATAATCTTACACGCCCAATCTTGCCATATAATCTTACACCGCCAATCTTGCCACATAATCTTACAACCCCAATCTTGCCACATAATCTTACACCCCTACCCCTATCTTCATATAATCCTACCCTTGTCCCCCATTAGCATAATCCTATACCCAGCACCAGACTAGTGAGATTCTATCTATTGACGACACCTAACATTGACACTACGTCTACCCCACAGAGAGCTAGTGTCTCCCTTTGAACCGCACACCTCCTATAAAAAGATATTTCAATCAACCTTCTGCCGGCAAGAATTCCGGGAACACTTCATGTGTTTAGAGCATAAGTTTGTGACATGTAAAAAACGTTCTTTTCTTATTGGAAATTTAAGATCTTTCAAATTTTTGATCAACATGTGTTTCGTTAAATTATTTGATAACCGGAGACAGTTTTTGTTTTGCATATATTGTTTATACGTTTATATTTTAAGTTTATTCTATTACATTTGACCTAATTGGTTAAGCTTTGTGTGTTGTTAGACTCGTATCAAAATACTAATACAGTTGCGTGGTAGGCGTGTACGTTTTAAGCTCGGCTATTGGTCATTCTAAGTTCAGAACCTAATGTAAACTGACCACAAGTGACCAATACAAAATGTGGAGTTGACGGCGTGTGTTTACCTACACGCTTTCACATAGCAACAATAGAAGCCGATCCTCCCCCGCCCCCGATACGATTTAAATGAACCACGTTTTTATCGCGTGCTGTGATAAGCTAGGCCCGGTCGATACAGTTTACTTGGAATAAATTGCGAAAAGTTGTCGATACGTTTGTTCCCTCGGTAAACATTTTGATTAGCTCCCCTGTAATGCTCTTTAGTATGAATACAGGGGAGGTCACTGTAACACTTTCTAGGCTCAGACTTGAAACCCTTTGATTTCATGTTTATGTCTACGTTAGCATTTGAGAAACGGACTCGACATTTCAGATATAATAAAGAATTTAACTTAGGTTCCCTAACTCTGTATGAAATGTAGTATTAATTAAGCATATTTTACTAGTGAACATTAAAGTAAAACAGTGATGTTTATCGAACTAAAATATGTGTATAACATATTGTATCAAGATTGTGTAGATACATAATTGCACTATATGCACTTAAATAAATTCCTGTGTGATGTAAGCGGGGGAGGGGGAGGGCCGAATTGAGTTGACATGTAAGCGGGGAGGGTGAGGGTCGGATTGACATGCAGGCGGGTAGGGGGAGGGCCGGATAAAAAAAATTCCTGAGACTGTTTTTATTGTCCCTTGACCAAAAAAATTGAGGAATAACTAAGATTTGAAATGTGGAATATTTAAGTATTGATGTTTAGATAATAATAGCGTACTTCTGTTTGAGTGTATAGTTTGCTAGACGTTTAACAATAAGTTTTATAAACTTTGATGGTGTGTTCATTAATTCATCGACACGGAGCTCCATGCTCTTTGAATTGTTTTAGGTGCCTAGAGTTAACCTATCCGAGTTAACATACACAGTTAACTTGTCCTAGTTAACATACTCAGTTAACCTGCCCTAGTTTAACACACTCAGTTAACCTGCCCTAGTTAACACACTCAGTTAACCTGTCCTAGTTAACATACTCAGTTAACCTGCCCTAGTTAACACACTCAGTTAACCTGCTCTAGTTAACATACACAGTTAACCTGCCCTAGTTAACATACCCAGTTAACCTGCCCTAGTTAACATACACAGTTAACCTTACCTAGTTAACATTTACAGTAAACCTGCCCTTGTTAACATACTCAGTTACCCTGACCTAGTTCACTCACAGCTAACCTGTCCTAGTTAACATACTCAGTTAACCTGCCCTTGTTAACATACACAGTTAACCTGCCCTTGTTAACATACACAGTTAACCTGCCCTTGTTAACATACACAGTTAACCTGCCCTTGTTAACATACACAGTTAACCTGCCCTAGTTAACACACTCAGTTAACCTACCCTAGTTTAACACACTCAGTTAACCTGCCCTAGTTTAACACACTCAGTTAACCTACCCTAGTTTAACACACTCAGTTAACCTGCCCTAGTTTAACACACTCGGTTAACCTACCCTAGTTTAACACACTCAGTTAACCTGCCCTAGTTAACATACTCAGTTAACCTGCCCTAGTTAACACACTCAGTTAACCTGCCCTAGTTAATATACTCACCTAACTTGCCCTAGTTTAACACACCCGAACAGTAACTTTGAGACCTGTAGGTACGACAGTACTAGGCCCAGTTTACACTAAAGATATGCCCCGTCACTTTCATATCCCCGACACCTTATGTTAAACTAGCAATTAATTTCTCGTCAGTGTCTGTTTTATGTTAATGTTTGTGTCAGATCAAATGTGTACTAGGCAACCATCAAGGCGAGACATATCTTCAGGTCGGTGGTGTTAAGATTAGTGCCAATGTTAAGCAAGAAGTTAGATGAAAATCCTGTTGCTATGTGTAAACAAATTATGTGTTGTCTGTTTCCGTTGCTAAATTTAGCCACACGAGTAAGATATAAATAGAATGTGAAAGTTTATACATTATAAAAAAAGACTGTTTGAAATGAAATAAATTCTATTTTCAGCTGTTGTTTATATTTTCTGAGACTATGAAAGCACAACGGTGAAAGAGCAGTCACGAGTGCTAACAGATCAGTTATAAAAAGGATTGTCTAACTATCAACAACATTCGTAATAACTGGAATAGACTACTGAAAATTAAATTACATTTAGACAAGAGAAAAATCACAGCACTGAAGGAAGAGACCACAGGAAGAAACCACCAAAAATAATAATAAAATACCACAATAAGAAACCACCAAAAGAAAACCAGAGTGGAAAGAAGTGTGAGAAACAATGAAAGGGAAGTCGAAAGTCGACTCAATTATTATATCACCGGACGCAACTGTAAGTATAATTCTATTTCAATATGTCTCTAATTTTTAAAAAAACCATTAAAAATATTCGCTAATTATTAATCTAACTGCAGCCTTTGTATGGCTGTAAAATAAATTGTACGAGACTCATCCAAACAAATTCTAAAGCACATCAGTTTATAAAAGAACAATGAATTTATTCTTCCGTAAACAATCGATGTTATATCTGTAATTAAAACGAGAAAATTATTTAAAGTAAGAAAGAGCATAGCTTTGTTAACCAAGTATCACACGATTTACTTTGTTAAAATAAATCTCTGACGTATACACGGGGCAAGAGAAACGTGACGTTTGGCCTAAACAACGTGGTGTAATCAACGTGACGTAAACTACGTGACGTGACAATCGGTGAGAATGTGCAAACACTGTACCCGAATATTTTTTGCTCCAGTCGTCACAAAAAGCCAGACCCCCCCCCCCTCTAAAATGACGTCACACCTCAACCTACAACCCCCCCCCCTCAAAATTGCAGTTGAATTTTTTTTAAACATCGATATTTTTCTAAAATCTTGTCTAAACTATTACAATTTATTAAAACAGTTATCTAAAACGCGAAATAACGTCTAAAATTCGTTTTCTAACATTGTTTTTATATAATGCAAAAGTGTGAAGTCGTAATTACGGACCCCCCCCCCCTCCCCCCTACGAGTGTGACGTCATTTATGGATTACCCCTTATTGGAATAATCCTACGAGTTTAAGGTTATGTTTTCCCTGCCCCTCAACTATGTACGAATCCGATATTTCAAGAATAATGGAATCTTTTTAATGGGGATGTTTGAGTGTTAGTAGTAAACTTAATTCAAATGTGACTTGTTTATCCCAGCGCTAACCCTAACCCAAAATGTAAACATAACCCTAACATAACCCTAAACCTGAGATAACTATACTACTAACAACCTAACACACCTATTTTTAGAAGATTCCATTGCCGGACAGTGGTAGGAAGTGTTCTAAAATTAAATAAGTAGAAGAACCATTAAAAATAAGAGGGGTGTCAGTAATGCCCAAACCATTATAATGAAAAGGGATGACAGGTCTAAAATATGGCCGTATTAGAAACACAACTCACAAAGTAAGCTGTTACGTAACTGGTTTGACTGTCATGACCCAATTACGTAACTTGTGGTCATATTACGTCATTCAAATCCCCAACACATTACTGTATTAGAAACACAACTCACAAACACATCACAGACTAAGCTGTTACGTAACACTTTCACCAGTCATAACCCGATTACGTAACTAGCGCTCATATGACATTATTCAAACTCCCCAAAATATGCCTGTAATGGAAATACAACTCACAAACTCATCACATCCTAAGCTGTTACGTAACACTTTCCCCTATCATAGCCTAGTTACGTAACTTGCGATCACATGACATCATTCAAACTCCAGCAGTTTACGCCCCCCCCCCCCTAATGCCACCGATTATACCACAATCACCCACCTTGTTATGTGGTGATGGCGACTCAGCAGTGTGTCCAAGATCTGGGTCGGAGGTCAAATCAGTCCGGTGACCTCACATGGTCAAAGGTCAGGGTGATCCAGGCTTAGGGATAGGGTGAAGTTTTTGTGACGTCATCTGAAGGTCAAGGTTCACTGATACAATCTAGAAATGTGCTTTGAGTGAAATAGGTTTTATGATGTCGTGGTACTGGGCTGTATGTGGTGTGGTACAGGGCTGTATGTGGTACAGGGCTGTATGTGATGTGGTACAGGGCTGTATGTGATGTGGTACAGGGCTGTATGTGATGTGGTACAGGGCTGTATGTGGTGTTGTACAGGGCTGTATGTGATGTGGTACAGGGCTACATGTGGTGTGGTACAGGGCTACATGTGATGTGGTAAAAATCTTACATGTACTGTACTTGGGCAGTCTATGATCTATTGCAGTGTGATAAAGTACTTTGAAGCATTCAATTTTGTCACAGCATAACTCCGTCATATTATAACTCTCTCATGCTGTAATATTATCTGTATATTATCTAATTGTAAATATTTACACTGGTTTCATATGGCTGTTGATGTATTCAACGATTCAAAATTCAATACAAACAAACGGAAGACAACATAACGGGAGAAACCATGTTGTTAAAAAAGGGGTGAACAGGACTAAACACTGCAACGAAAAGGGTGGATAGGACTTTGGTGTAGATTTCGGACAAACACAACTCACTGTCCAACCAAAACTGACCAGTGACGTCACCCAAACACTGAGTACCGTAGTGATGGTATCGACATAGTTCACCTTAGAATCTTATGACATCAGATAACATCAGATGACGATACCTGTCGCTAATTGTTAAAGTTCACCCCAGTTTTATCTACATTAATTGTAGGTAAAACTGTGGCGTGTCTAGGGTTATGGGCGGAGAAGATAGGGACTAGGGCAGGGGTCTCCAAACTTTTCAGTCCGAGGGCCGCAGTAACTATCAAATTTCAGTTCGGGGGCCAGTTTCTTCAAGGCATGTCTTTGATTTTTCTGGGCAAAGTCCCTCAGCTATCACCAACAAACGATTTTTCCTTTGACAAAAAGATCTCCGCGGGCCGGATGAGAGGACTTCGCGGGCCGCATCCGGCCCGCGGGCCGTAGTTTGGAGACCCCTGGACTAGGGCATAGTGAGGCCGTGTTGTGAAATGTGGGTTATTGTCATCTTAAGGTCTTTTTGTGACATGTGGTTATGGGATTAAGGTCATCTTTAGAACATGTTGCGGTTGTGGGTTAAGGTCATCTTTATGTAATGTTGTGATTATTGGGGCAGGGGTCTCCAAACTTTTCAGTTTGAGGGCCGCATTAACTATCAAAATTCAGTTCGGGGGCCAGTTTCTTCCAGGCATGTCTTTGATTTTTCTGGACAAAGTTCCTCAGCCATCACCAACAAACGTTTTTTCCGTGGACAAAAAGATCTCTGCGGGTCGGATGAGAGGACCTCGCGGGCCGCATTCGGCCCGCAGACCGTAGTTTGGAGACCCCTGCTCTAAGGTAATACACGATTTCTAGCCCGTCAAACTCTAAGCACTTTATCTTTAAATGAATAGAAAATAAGTCATATTTTAAAAATATTTCAAATATCTGTGCACATATTTAGTATTAAAATGACACGTAGATTTCAAAAATGTTAACGGTTTTCCGATATCTTAAATAGTTTTGAGATACAACATGGGACATATATGGCCCTATGGCCCTCAAGGGAAAGTTATCGAAAATAGGTTGTGTTATGTGCTATATCAAAATGTTTATTACAAAGGTGTTCAAACGTGTGTTTGTTGCTTTGGCAGGGGCGTAGCGAGGGGTGGGGGGGTCGGGGGTGACACCAACGCAAAAAATAGCAAAATATATAGAGAAAAACTTGAGGAGGGGGTGTAAATCGAAAGTTTGAGGGGGGGGGGGGGTGCAAATCGAAAACTTGAGGGGGGGTGGTGGTGCAAATCGAAAGTTTGAAGGGGGGGTGCAAATCGAAAATTTGAAAGTTTGTCCCCGGGAATGGGTTGCAACGCCTCTGGTGGGGGGGGGGGTGACACCATTAAGTGCCGCACCAGGTGACACCCGACCTCGCTACGCCACTGTGCTCTGGTACATTGGAAACTAAAAATATCAGTAATGAGAACACATGTATGTCTTTTATGAGTGTATAGTCATCTATGAATGAAGCTTTTTGAAGCAGTTACGTGATGTTATATAATATACGCGAACATGGCAGACATCACACATATTTTCAGTTATGTTCTCAATCTTTTCCCTTGCCCATTGTGCATAACTCCTGCGTTTGTCTTCATTTGATTCATCGACTTGTGTTCAGGTTGTGAGGTTGAAGTGAACTTCTTGCCTCTACAACCAGATCTTGAAGTGAGATTTAATTCATGTAATCCCTACATGGGAGCCCTCGCTATCATTTGCATATATTCAAGCTTGGTTTGGCATTGTAGCCAGGCTTGAATTCTTGTTAAATGTGCGTATAAATGGCTTTTTTTTTTTACTTAAAATCTATATTTTGGCATCACATTATCAACATATGAAAGATGGAGATCAGGTTTCGTGAACTAGTAGTCTTCAAATTTAGAAGTACATGGTATCCCATCACAAGTTTCATTCTAAAAAATCTACAGATGTCTTGCGAATGAGTTTGAAAATCAATCCCTTACTGTTTACTATTATCAATAATCAGAGCTACCAAACACTCAAAAATAACATTGGTATCTTAATTACAATCAACATCTATTGTAAATCTCCCATAACCATAGCCAATAACTTGTATTTGAAAGTGTTTCCAGAAGCTTCTAGTTGAAAACAATGTCTTGCTCCAGTCTCCTTTTTCAAATCTCAAGAGGACGTTTTTGTTCGTTGGGCAAATGATGTTCTATTGATGATAATGTAAAGTTTCAGCTTTGGGTCTAGGACATTACCCCTCTGTTTGTTATTTTTGTGTGTGTCAACTTTAACATACGCACCGAGCACTGGAACAGTTAAATTAACCATTAATGTTGTCGAGTTACTTCCCATTATAACAAATCAATGTTTTCAAGGGATGCAACCTATAAAATTAAATAATGGTTAAATATTGATGCTTAGTGAAACAATTGAATTATAAATGTGTATGCTATGATTTTATTTTATAAAATATAATAACTTTTATTGAGAATTGGAATTGACTTTATGTCTGTTAAAAAGGGTCATTTATTTTTTACCATTTTGCTCTTAATTTTACACATTAGCTATAATAAATGCGCAATTTATAGAACTTTGATAATTCAGAATTATAACCGTTGGAAGAATAGATTGTTATTCAATTAGTTTTAAAATTATTTTTTTTAAATTTAATTATAAACTATCACAGCTTTGGATCTTCCATTTGTAGACGTTGTATTAATTGCGACTTATCTGTGAAAAAATTCAGCTATTCGTCAATGTGTTTACAAACTATTCTTCCGCCTTATCAAATAAAAATACTTTAAGATATAAATTACA